ATAAGCCAAAAACCCCTCAAAAAAAAAAAAAAAAAAAAAGACCCTTTCTCCCTCTAGATGAAAATCTGACCTTTGGTGAGACTTTCTGGACTTTCTGGCACTGTTTTCCTTGTCAAACTGATAAGGTAAGAACTTCAATTATGAATTATGATTTTAGACAAAACAAGGCCTTCATTGCAAAGATCACCCTGACTGGAGAGAACTAGAAGTGAACTATAAATGTAAACAGAGACCCGGACATTGAGTGTTGTGACTCTCCACATGTGCCTGTCCCTTAACTCAACCCTGGAAGAAATATCTATGAAATTATGAGACATTTGCTCATTTAGGGAATGAAGCTTTTAATTTAGAGCAGCTGTGGCCATTATCCTAAAGTGGATTGCTTCTCCTTGCACCTGAGCTGGATGGCCTACAGCAAAGATTCTGCAAAGGAGGAAGGCCTGCCACTACCCTGTGGTAAGCTGGGTCCCTGAGCATTGTCCATCTGAGTGGACTGAGGTAGTCTTGTATGTTTGACTCTATACTGGACCCCAACAAGATCAGGGGACATTTGAGAAAAACGTTGCTTTTTTTTAAGGTTTATTTATTTATTATCATTATTTTTCAATTTGATTTAACTGAAGAGAAACGGAGAGTTAGAGAGAGCAAGCTACCAAGTCCAGAGCCCGAACTATGGTTGGCCATGTGGGAGTCCAGCACCTTTAACCACCACACCACCTGCCGCCCCCATGAGAAAAATATTCCTAACATACAACCAAAAGGATCTGGTGACAAAATGCATACTGAAGCCATAAAGAAAGGAAGAATCTGGGATGATTTCCAGAATTCTGATGCATTTAGAATACATATACACACACTTATATGTCTTTTAGTGAATACCTGTGTAATTTATATTTACATTTTAATAAATAGCTTAATTATATAAGAAAGTGTGCTGATTCACATCCTTTCAGAAGCAAAGGGTGAAATTAAATTAGATGTACAACAGATTTTAGATGGAAGAGAGCCAGAAGAGGTGCATAGAGTACTCAGACAGTAATATAGGTTTTATTTCTTTTACTTTTTTTTTTTTGAGAGGTTTTTGCCATAGGGTGCATGCACTCGCCAGACAGAGAGAGACAGAGACACAGAAAGCGAGAAATTACCCCCCAGGGGTGGATGGCCACTCCGCAATCCCTTCTCCTCCATTTTCCTCTCGGGATCTTCGGCACGCACGCACACACGCCCGGCATGAGTTTTAAGCCACCAGGTCCAGGACACGAACCACAGTAGACTACATGGGAGTCCAGTGACATAGCCATTACACTAACTGCTGGTCCCGATAGTAATATAGGTTTGATGGCTGCAAAAAGTAAGGGATAATGAAAGAGAACTGGGTGGGGTGAGTCCTGAACTGCAGCACAGGTCTAAGAAAGCTTCAGTCAAGCAAGCTGATGGAGAGGCTTTGGGCCAAAACTTCCTGTTGGAGGAGCCCCATATCTCCACAGAGTAGATCTGCCACAGCACTGCACAGTGCTCCATCCTGGCTGGCAGAGTCCTGCAGACAGGAAGCTGGAGCCATCAACCAGCTATGCTCCTCACAGAAAAGACCTGAGCAGCACATTTTCATAGTTGCCTCACGGGGGTCATACGATAAAGATCACCCTCTTGTGATAGGAGGAACCCTTTGTATTCTGAAGCATCTATTTCAAAAATGCAAAGATAAAATTTTTCTAGAATTATTTAATTTTTTTTAAATTTTGCAATAGGGCACAGAGGGAGATGGGGTGGGGAGTAGTGAGAAAGCAAGCCACCAGG